GTGTCCATCCTACAGGAAAGCAGATGTCATTCTGGTACAACATGCCAGCCGATTCAAAGTGTCATCACAATCATGGCAGATGTATGTTCATCATGTTCCAGGCACAATTCTAAATGCCATATGAATATTAACTCATTTAATCCTCACAGCATTCTATAAGGTAGGCAATGTTATTATCCCATTTTACTGATGAGGAAAGTAAGGCATAGTATGTAAGTAGCAGAGTTGGGACGTGACACCAGGCAGTGTGGCTCTACATTCTACTCTCTGACCCTGGGTGCTGTGTTGCACAGACTACAGGGAATCTCTGTACAGCAGGAAGATACCAGTATCAAGAGGGATTGAAGGTAAGGGACTCTATACAGGTTCATGTTTTCATCCACCAGAAAGAATTATTTGCTCTAAACAACTAACCACCTCTCTTGGTTTTCCCCCAAATTAGAATGTTTGGGCTGGCTGGTTAGCTCAGTTGGTCAGAGCATGGTGTTATAACACCAAAGGGTTTGGATCCCCATTCCAGCCAGATGTCAAAAAAAACAAACCCAGAATGTTTGAAATTTCATATCGATGGTATACATGTTTAAACTCTGGCTAGGTCTTTGAAATTGATCAATTATTAATTACCTTTCTTTTTTTTTTTTTTTTCCCCTTTTTGTCTTTTTTCGTGACCGGTAACGGGATCGCAACCCTCGGTGTCGCGCCCGCACCGCGCTCAACCAGTGAGTGGACCGGTCTCTATATGGGATCCGAACCCTCAGCAGGAGCGCTGCCACACTCCCAAGTGCCGCACTCTACCGAGTGTGCCACCAGGCCAGCCCTATTAATTACCTTTCAACAGCCAAAAACTTCTTCCGTTCCTCTTCAATTTGAGTTTGAACTGTGTCAATGTTGGAATTCTGAGTGATAAATATGTCTTTAAGTTGCTGCTTCTTTGCCATGAGTTCATCCAGGATTTGCCAACAGTTTTCTGCAGCCTGAATGGGGAGGATCTGCATTGTAGATTTACCATCTTTTATGTGAATAAGGTCAACAGATTACCGTATTACCAATAAAACCAAGCCATTTCATTATTCTGGGTGCTGCTTGAACCTCTATTATAGATTGTGCGACACTCTCATTCTATGCTTTTTGGAAATTGGTAATCACTACCTGCCTCCGTCCTTCATTTGGATTCACTCCTCAGCTCACGGCCATTTGACTTCTGTTCCCACTGTCCAGTGAAAGTGGGTCTTGCTATGGCCTCGATTAGGAAATTAAACAGAAATTTTCCAGGCTGTACCTTTCTGACAGCCTTCCTCACGTCCTTCTTCCTGAAACTCTGGGGCTTCTATAATACCATCTCTTCTGGCTCTCCTCCTAACCTAACTAGCGACCTTCCAGAATCCCATCATTGCTCCACTGCTCTTCACTACCTCCCTCCCTGCCTGGGAGTCTCAGCCATTCTCACATGGTTTCAATGGACTCCCATAAACCAGCAACTCCCAAATCTGGATCTCCAGCCTAGATAGATTTCTCCCCTTATCTACATACTCTTTAACTACCTGCTGGATACTGCCATCTAGATGGTAGAAAGGCAATTCAAACTCCACCGGTCCAGAATTTTCTCTCCTTAACTTGATCCTACCGTCACCAATCATCCAAGTTGGAACTTAGCAAAAATTGGGCGCGTCCCCCTTCGCCCTCCCTCAAACTTCAACATCCCATAATTCATGAAGCTCTGCTGATTTGAAGTATTTTTCAAATCTGCCCCCAACTTCTTCTATCACAATTAGGAACCTTCAGGAGCTCGACATGGAAGGACATTATAATTTCTATAAAGAGGCACTTCAGCCACCTGTTATTACCTTCTTTAGGTTATCGATGTCTTCTCTTCTTTTCTGGATGTCCTCTTTTAATGCGTTGACCTTATTCAGTTTCTTCTCAAGTTGATTCCGACTAAATTTCAGTTGAATATTAAGCTGACTTTTTTGTTTTTCAAATTCTAATCTAGTATAATAAAGTCAACCATTATAATTGGTAAGCAGAGTGCTTTGATTATTTAACTTTCCCTTATTTTTTTTTCTTTGCGAATACTGTAATGAACCCCACTGAGCTCTCACTCAACTGTAATAATTATCAGTTCCTGGTCAACCTTGTTTCATCTATAACCACACTCACTGCCCCTTCCCACCAGGCCTCATGTAATTTCATCTGTAAATATTTTCGTATGTATCTCTGAAAGGGAAATGAATTTTAATTCATAACCATAAACTATTACTGATGAGAAATGATAATTCCTTAATATCATATTGCTATCATTGCTGAATTTCCCAATGGTCTCATTAATTTTTAAAAAATTACCGGTTCTTTGAATCAGGATTGACATATTGCATACACATTCTTACATCTTTTGTAATCTATAGGTTCCCTCCCTTCTTTTTCTTTAAATTACAGTTTATGTTTTTATTCTTATTATTTAGTCAGTCTTTTTGAATAGCTATTCCGACATAAATCCAAACTTGGGATCTTAAGAACATGTTCCATCCTAATGCTCTTTCCTACTTTCCAAGCTTCACAAAATCCTCATAAGGAATTCTAATGTCAACTGTAGCTCATCCTGCCCTCCCTTCTCCCTCACATACCCTGCTCACAGAATCATGTGTTCAAGAAGCATCTTTTTTTTTTTTTTGTCCTTTTTGTGACCGGCCGCACCGCGCTCAGCCAGTGAGCGCATTACACTGGCCATCCCTATACAGGATCCGAACCCGTGGCTGGAGCGCTGCTGCACTCCCAGTGCTGCACTCTCCCGAGTGCGCCACGGGCTCGGCCCTCAAGAAGCATCTTAAGCACTATGGCAAATATTGTGGTAGATACTGCTGATAAGAACAGCAATACAAACAAACAGTAATATTTGATGAGAGGTTACTAGATGCCTGACAGTTATAAAAGCTTTTACGTCAATGAACTCTCTTAAGTTGTGTGATCGTATGAGGTAAGTAATGCTATCAACCCTATTTAACAGATGAGGTGACCAAGGCACAGTGAGTTAACTAACTTGCCCAATGACACCCACTTAGGGAGTGGTGGAGCCAGGGGCGACACACTCAGGGAGTCAGCAGAATCCTACTCCTACTCTCTGACCACACCAGTCAACTATAGGAGAAGTTAAGAAAACCTTCAAGGGATTTATTTCTGCTGGAGGAAGCAGACACACAGACTACGTAGAAGTGAAATACGTCCTCACTTGGCTCTGGAACATGACACTACTCTGGCTTTCCTGTCCCCTTACTGGCTGCTCCCTTAAAGGCTCTTGCTCATCTCCTCAACTTGTCACCATCTTCTGGGATCACTTCTCTTTTCTATCCATATTCACTCCCTTGGTGCTCTCATC